TTTATGGCCCAAAATAGTGATTTTAGTAATGTAATTCGACAGGCAAATTACAGTAATATTTTTAGCAAATATCTTTTCCATAGGGCCTAGGCCTAGCTAGGTATACAGTAATTTCATTTTACAGTAGTTTGGAACGATATCAGGAGTGGGTGTGGTGGCAGTGGCCTACTAGACTACAATTTATTTGAGCTATCTTGGGTCCGATCATCCACACCAGTTGGGCCCAATCGCCTGTCACCCGAAGTTTTCATTACGATGATCAAGAACGTATCTAGGCCCTAGGCTAGGCTTAGATTGCTGCCGTCACTCTGCTACATATACTACTACCGCATAACAAAGAAAGTGACCCACGCGGTGCATTCTTAAATTTTACACACATTATTAAAATGTATTAGACGAACACGATATCACTGACTGAACGATCTACCACCCTCGCATTGCAGTAACTACTGACACTGTACTGAACTAGGCCTAGCTTAGGCCTAATGTTTTTGTGGAAAGCATAGAGCTATTATTATTATTATTATATCTCTATGGTGGAAAGTTAGATAGTTGTTATGTACCCGACAGTCGGCTGCCTTTATATCTTTACTTGTTTTCAATTTGCATTCAAAGGGTACATTGCTGCAAAGTCAACTGTCGGGGATATAGTACCTTCATATGACTACTCATACAACAGAAAAAAACGTAGCATGGAGTTAGTGAAAAATGGAGATCTAAATGAAAAAACGATGTATTTCAGCAAGTATTAAAAACACATCTAGATGTGTATAAGAGACAGTGCCACAGCAGTTGATTTTTTTTTGCCGTAAAACCAAAATAGTTTCATCCATGCCGACTTGCCCTGACTGAACTCTGCAGAAACTGCACATCGCGAGGCAAAACAAAATGTCGGAAAACTTTTCTTTGACGCATGCGCATTTGCTCAAATGTCAGATGGACTGTACCGTCTACATGATTTGATAAATAAAAATTACGTCTGAAGATTTACCACACACAGCTTATTGCAAAAACAAATCTTACATCTAATAATACAGTCGCAAAACACCAATATTTCATTTCATGTTCATCGGCTATCAATTGAAAAAACGAATGATGCAATTTAATTCAAGCGGGCTTCTAGGTTCAAGGTTCGATTTATTCAGTCATTTATAAAAATACATGAAATTTGTCTTCCTGGGTAATTAAACATACAATATTTGCACATACAACAAAGATATTAAAAGGCTATTGTAAACTTCAAACCTAAAAATATTCTGCCCAAAAATCATTCTAACTGTACAATCACAATATTAGAATATGTATCATAAGCAAACAAATATATTAGTTCTTCATTAAAATTTATTTACAATTACTGTAATGGAATATCCTTAAATAGAGATATCAGCTATAGTATGGTACTGCTATCCATGATTTGATCTCTGACGTATCTCCACCATCTTAGTCTTTTTATCCATTATTTGCAATTCTATTTTAATGGAAGTAAATGACAGATTAATTGATTCAGTGTACAATGAAACATTTATAAACTGACAGACACTGCATCCTGTACTATATGGATTGAAATAGCATATTATACTTTGATAGATATACAGTAATAGACAGTAATTAATATGCAGAATATTAATTAAGCCTATTATAAATTATGGTTTAATGACATTTATCAATCTGTGCTTTTACTGTATATTCTTACATTTTGAAATATCTTTAATAACATAATTCTTTAATCCTGAAATGAAAGCGATTTATTTATTTATTTATTTCAATATTAAAAAACAATAGGCAAAGGGACATTAAAACAACAAAGGAAATAAAGTAGCCTAAATAAAATAATCAAATAAATTAAAAATAGATAATAGGCCAATGTATATGAGAACTATAAATCAAACCACTCTTAATTTAAAGAAAATAAATCAATTTAAATTAATAAATAAAACAGAAAATAAATAATAAGGCAGAAATCAAAAAATGATTTCTCAGTGCAAAAGGCCAAAGAAACAGAATTACAGGAGAGAAAGAAGGAGGTAACTTTTGAGGGACGATTTAAAGGAGGAGCAAGTAGAAGCATTGCGAACATCTAAGGGAAGAGAGTTAAAGAAAGAGGGGGAATTAAAGCTAAATGAAAGTTTGAAAAGTTCAAAGTGGGGTCTGGGGATAGTAAGTCCCCTTTAGTGAGTTAAGAAATTTTATAAGAAGGCTGGCTTTTTTGTTTTTTAGTTGATTAAACTTCCTTTATCCATGAGGAAGTAGACATAATTCAGAAATAATGTTCATAGGGGGTCAGATCAATAGATAAATTAGCATCAATCAGTCATCACCACACTCGTATTGATGATAACTGATAAGCCACTAAATTGTAAGATCTGTGTATTCACAAATAAATGCCCCTACTGTATGTTAATTGTGTTGGAATAATAATACCTTATACTGTATGGAAATATTTAACATCCAGTACAGTATTTAAAATGGCCTATGGTCTAAAGGTCTATTAACAAAATTGTATTCCCAAGGACAAAAAACTTACTTGTTATTTTTAAAATTCATTCAGAAACTTAAGTCCGACATAAAATTGGTACATAGTATGGCCGATAGCTCAATGG